GTTTTCTTATTTTCTTGACAGTATCTTTCGCAGAGCATAAAAATTTAATTGTAACGAAGTCCAGCTTATCAATTCTTTCTTTCATAGTTCATGCCTTTGGTGTTGTATCTAAAAAGTCATTGCCAAATGCAAGGTCATCTAGGTTTTCTCCTATGTTATCTTCTAGGACTTTTATAGTTTTGCATTTTACATTTAGGTCTGTGATCCATTTTGAGTTAATTTTTGTAAAGTTCTGAGTCTAGATTCATTTTTTGTATCTGGGTGTCCACTTGTTTGTGTATCATTTGTTGAAAAGACTATCTTTGCTTCTCTGTATTGCCTTTGCTCCATCGTCAAAGACCAGTGGACTGTATTTATGTAGCTTCATTTCTGGGCTCCCTGCTCTGTTCCATTGATCTAGTTGTCTGTTCTTTCACCAGTACCGTGCTGTCTTGATTACTGTAGCTTTGCAGTAAGTCTTGAAGTTGAGTAGTATTAGTCCTCCAACTTTGTTCTTCTCTTTCAACATTGTGTTGGCTATTCTGGGTCTTTTGCCTCTCCATATATTAAAATAAGTTTGTTGATATCCACAAAATAACTTGCTGGGACTTTTATTGGGATGCATTGAATCTATAAATCATGTTGGGAAGAACTGACATCTTGACAATACTGAGAACTACTGTGTGTTTGGCCCTACACTTAGTTGTGGGAGGTGGGAGACTGGACTGGAATACACAAAAGCACAGGACAAGCTCCCCAGGATGCACCTCACACAGTGCCAGGCATACAGGTAGTGCTCAATAAATGGTCACTGGGGTAATGAGTGAAGCTGAATCCCAAAGCACCTGGGAACAAGGAAGCTATGGTGCACCTTCCATGCTCAGGTGGGTAGCACAGACTCCCATCCTTCACAGGGAAGGCCTAGCCTCAGGGAAAACTTTGCGGGAAAGGTACCATTGAGAAGGGAACTGGCCAGGTGGGCTGGTCTGAGCGAGACTCTCGGGCTGACTGGGTGGCTGTATTGATAGGTTAATTCACTGATTTATTCATTCATTGATTCACTGAATAAATATTTATCGAGTATCTGTTATGTATCAGGCACTCAGGGATCTCCCTCTCTAACGTGACCAGCCATCCCCTGCAGTTCGGGCAGGACAACCCTGTGCAGGTTTTCTGATGGCCTGGGAACTATGGGTTGGGCCTCGGGGGTGGCAGGGTGGCCCTGTGTCCTAGCTAGGGATGGCTGTGGCTGTTTCTTATTTTAAGGTTATTTTCTCAACAGGGAGGGAGGTGTCATGCCATTGACGAGGGTGGTCTCAAGTTTAGGGAGTCCGGCTTGGCCTAGACGAATCCCACTCCTGCCTGGCTGGTGGGGGACCATCCCTGTGGCTGGTTCTCGGCTCAGCATCCAGGGGCTCGGGGAAGGATGAAAGGAGACTCTCAGACAAGTATTTTATTTTATCAACATGGAGACTCTGCAAGACTTGAACTGATCTGGGAGCTGTGGAGAGTGAGAAAGAAGGGAAAGAAAGAGGTGAACCATGAGGAGGAGACAAGGCTAGGAACAAAAAGAGGAGAGACAGCCAGGAGAGAAAGTGACAAGGGTGGAGAGAAGCAGAGCAGGGGAGAGAGAAGGAGAGAAAGACAAAGGGAGAGAGAGAGAGAGGAAGAGGGAGAGAGAGAAAGGAGTCAGCCAGAAGGGAGAGAAAGGAGGGAGAGAGAAGGGGAGGGTGGGGGCCAAGCTACTGTTGAAGGGGCCCCAGTTCTGCCCTGAGTCCCTGCCTGGGACCCTCCCTCTCCTGCGTCTTAGTGTGAGCACTCATGGCACCTGCACATGCACATGCAAGGACACACACGTACACACGTGCAAACACGCATGCACTGACACCCACCCCCTTGGGCACGGCCTTCATAATCTACACTGCTGGGCAGGTGGGGCTGCCACTGTGACAGGTGCTGGAGCAACACCTTATGAGTAGCTTCCACTGAAGCCACCAAAACTTCATCCAGCCCCATCTCCCTGGCGGGTTCCTTCTCCCTCCTCCCTTCCAGGATGAGGCTGAGAAGAGCCCTCGGGGCCACACAGGCACTTCCCTGCCTCCTGGCAGCCGCCTTGGTGAAGGATGGCTCAAAGGCCTTGGGGACTCTGTGCAGAGTCCAGGCAGGGATGAGGGTGCTGGAGTCCTTTGATCCTCCGAGCTGGGTCTAACCACAGCCCCTGCCAAGAGAGGGTTTCTGAGGCACAGCACCCCTCAGAGGGGTCACTCTCAGCTTCTCTGGGTCCCAAGCATCCACGTCCCCTCCTTTAGGTCCCTGCCTAGCTAGGGACTTGCACCCAGTTGACACTTGACAGTGGCGCCCCCTCCCACAGTACAGAGCTCCCAGGAAGGGCTAAGGCCAGGCTAGGGAGGTGGCCTTGGGTACAAGACTTCAGAGGCCCTCACTCTCAGACTTGAGCAGGTGCAGGGCTGGCCATGCACGACTCTGAGAGTGAGCATCTCCTTACATTTTATGCCAGGGGTGTCTTGCTTGCCTCGTCATAATCCTGGCCCTGTTGATACTTCCATTATCTCCTCAACCCTCTCAGGTCAGGGGAAGTTTCTGTACTGCCCTCAGTTGCCTGCCTTGGTCCCTAAGGCCTCTCCCCTTCCTGTGGGGGCCCCAGGATCAGGCCGCCCTGAGCTGCAGAGCCCGTTGCCGCCTCTGGACTCCTCAGGCGGGCCCTGGACTCTGGGCCTCTCTTCCCTCCTTCCCGTTGACCTTCTCCTCTCTCTCCTGCTTTGCCCCTAGTCCCAAGTTTAGACCACATGGGGCCTGTGCCATCCCTGCTGTCCCCTACCTTTGGGGCCTCACCCCCACCCCCATGCCCTGGCCCATGCTCCAGGTCCTGCTCCCTGGGGAAGGGAGGGGTGTGACTCCTCTAGGAAGGGCCCCAAGCCTTCCCCAAGCCACGGTCTGCAAATCCTACCAAGGGCCTTGCATTCACGCACACTCCAGGGGAATCAGGCTCGCCTATACAGAGCCTTCAGATTTATTGTGAAGCCAGCAGCCGCTCACAGTGACCTCATTCCAACAGACTTCAGGGGGCATATGAGTGCATGTGAGTGTGTGTGTGAGCTTGTGTAGAAGTGAGTGTATGACAAAGGAGAGAGGTGTGTGCAAATGTGTGAGTGTGCTGCCATTCGGGGTCCATGCATTTCGGACACACGAGTCGTCGGTTGGGAGTGAGCCTCGGGAAGACACGCCCATAAAGAAGACAGCACCTCTGACCTGCCATGTGCAGTCTGCAGCTGGCCGGGCACGTGATCCTCGGCATCTAAGAGGCTGGAGGTGGGGGTGGGGCCTGTTTTTCCCTCCAGACCCCAGAGAGCAGCTGTCATGGATATTTCTAGCTCGCCTGGAGTCCCAGACATTTAAGGATGCCTGGAATGGGGTGGGGGTGGGGGGCAAGGGATGGAAATAAAGGGCGGTTCCAAGGCTTTACTCCCAGGGGTCTTAGCTGAGTTCTGCTGGGGGGCAGGGGGATTCATCCATTCCACAAGTATTTTTTGATAGTCTGTCATGAGCCAGACACTCTCCTAGGGGCTAGGGACATCATGGTGAGTGGAGCCAACCTACATTCTTGTTGCAGGAGGCAGAACATAAACATGAGGGAAAGGCTACTTTCTAACTAATTCCAGAAAACAAAACAGAATAACGGTATGGAAGGTGACTGCGAGTGGAGAGGTTCTTTAGCTGGGGCGGTCAGGAGGTGACACACGAACTGTGCCTGAATAATGAGGAGCCAGCACACGGGGACTTGAGGGAAGAACCTGCCATAAGAAGATGGATGAGATGCTGTTTCACCCCACAGCCTCGCTGGACTCTGGATCAGAGTTGCTGAAGCCAGTCAGGGAGCTCGAGGTGACCTAGAGGACCAGGAAGGCAGATTCTCTCTCTGGAGGGACCACGGTGCATCTTCTACCCCTGACAGACTGGGAGGAGGAGATGCCCCAGGTCCAAGTAGGAGGAGAATGACCTCCTTTTCCCCTCCTGCAGTCTTCCTGGTAGCAGTGCTGAGCTACAGGATGGAAGAGTCATGTGAACAGGGGACTTGCCGAAGCCTCTTTCCTCCAGGAAGCCTTCTTTACTACAGACCACAGAGGACCCCTCACCCCACCTCTTATAGCTGACAGAACCGCTCAGTTCAGAGTTCGCGGTTCTCTGATGGTTTGTCCCTGAGATCTGTTCCCCCAGCTTGGCCAGGGACCCAGTCTCCTAGGTCCAGTCTGTATTCATCCCAAGGCCCCCACTGCCATGTGTCCAGGAATTGGACAGCCTGGGGTTCTTGTTCTGAGCCCCTGCCCCAGTGCCCCTTGAGAGCTCACCGAGAGCGGAGGATCAAGTGCTGGAGCTCCTAATCTCACTTCGTTTATTCAGTCATCCATTCACTCATTTAAATTTTTTTCTTGAGCCTTTACAACGTACCTGCTGTAAGGGAAATTGTAAATTAGAGCTACCTCGCCCGCCCCTGGCACCCAGGGAGCCCAACGTTCTGGCTGTACTGTTTCCCTGGTTTTCAAGACCAAGTCCCAGGGTCCATGAGAGCAACAAGCCCAACCCGTGGAGCCCAAGTCTCGGCCTGATAGCTGACCCCCGCCGGGGCCCCGGTCCCCCGCGCCGCCGAGAACTTGTGGCCACGGGAACGCGGCGCGCCCCGGGACCACATCTGGCTGAGCGGGCGCGCGCGTGTCACTAAGACGCTCATTCACCGGCGCAGCTGTCACCATAACAACCGGAGCCAGGGAATCCTGGCGACGGCTGCGGGCGAGGGGCGGGGGCGGCGGTCGCGGGAGGGACCCGGCGAGGGCAGGAGCGCGGCGGCCGGGGGAGACCAAGCACCGCGGGCGCGCCCAGCCCGCTCCGCGCTCCACGGAGCCCCGCTCCATGCACACCCGCAGGCGGCAGGGCGCCACGCACGTCGCCGCAGCGGCAGTCCCCGCGGGCGGGGACCGAGCCTGCTGCCGACCTCCGAGCCACCGGGCAGGCCGAACTGCTGAGCGCCCGCGTCGCGGGCCCTGACTCTATGGCCCCAGGGGAGCGCGCCGGAGCCGCCGCGCAGCCCACCACCAGCCGGAGGAAGAGGGGAGCCCCGGGCACCGCCGGCCCCAGCCCCCGGGCCCGCCCGCGGCCCCCGCCCCCGCCGCGGGGAATGGCAGGCAGGTAGCCGGCTCGCGCGAGGACCCCCGCGGCGGGCAGGATCCGCCGAGGACGCAGGAGCCCGGAGAGAAGGAGAGGAGGAGCGGTCCGCCCGCCCCCGGCCGCAGCCCCACGAGGGCCCTCCCCCGCGGCGCGCGAGCGCGCGCGCACACACTTGCATACAGTACCTCGGCTCCTGCCCAGTCTTGCCTGCCCCCCGCCGGTGCCGAACCCTCTGGGGCCGGATGCCATGGGTAACAACTTCTCCAGTATCCCCTCTCTGCCCCGAGGAAATCCGAACCGGGCGCCGCGGGGTCACCCCCAAAACCTCAAAGGTAAGGCTCGGCCGGGCCGGGCTCAGCTGAGGACCGGGGCGCAGGTGGAGGGGCAGGGAGAGGTGGAGAGGTGTGGTTAGGGAGGATGGGCAGGTGCCACCTGTTGTGCGCATTTGGAGACAGAAGATGCACATCTCACCATGGAGGTGGGCTGGGGGTGGGGGGCTACGGGTGGTGATGATGAACACCGGGGAGAATGGCGTACCGTGGGGTCTGCGCAGTTCTTTCTGCCAACACGGGAAACGTCACTGGAGTCGCCTCAGGTCACGATGCTAGGAAAACGTGTAGGGGTGAGGAAGGGAGGTTGCTAGGTGTGTAGCGGAGGGTAGCGGGATGCTCATGTCTGCCAGCAGTGCTTCTCAAGGGAGGCACCACCATCTCCTTTTTCATTTGCTCAGGACTGGAGAGGTCACGTTGGAAGCACTAGTTGCATTTCCAACTGGAAGGTCTTAAAGATCCAGCACTGACACATAGCAGCCTGCAAGAAGGGGCCAGAGCCAATGGCTTCTGGAGTCCGCTGCAGCTGTTGACTTTTTGCATTCACTGAATCACTTGGTTTCTGGTTTCCCCAAAGGCCAGATGTCCATTCCCAACCCTAGAAAGGAGTGGCTGGGAGCCTTGAAACAGAGGGACATTTACCAGGAAGATCTTTGCCCTCTAAGCCTGCCGACCCACCCAACACCCTCAGGGGGGCCCCAGGCCCAGTTCGAAGTCCTGCAGCTTCCAGTGCTGTCTCTGACCTTTGGAAGACATAGCTGGGTCCTCCCAGACCCTCAGACCCCACTGATTCCCTTCAGGAAGCTGCTTTTCTGTCACCCTCAGAACCAGCCAGCACTTGTCCTGGGCATTCTGACAGCTAAGAGCCAGGAAGGGAAGCCCTCAGGCTGTCGCAAAGAACAACTGGCTGATTCAGCCCCCTGGGGTTATAAGGATAATAGTAATGTCCTTTGACAAAGCACTGAAGTTTACAAAGAACTTTTACAAACACCTTTTCTTGGGAGCGAGGAAGCTGCTCTGGGTAGTCAGGGAAGCCGATCATACCCACTTTACAGTTGAGGAGAAGCGATGCTGGTTTCGAGTTCCCAAGGCCAGTGCGAGGCAGAGCCAGGCTGCAGATCTCTATCTGCTGACTTGGAATTCTGTCCTCTCTTTCGCTCGACAGTTAACCTTTGAGACTGGGAGAGAGGAGGAGAGATGGGACCACCGTCCCTCATTCTAACTCCAACTTTTTCAGAACTTCACTTCTCGCTCTCAGCTCAGGAAAATCAGTGGGTTTGTTGTGTCTTTCTGGAAATTAATGTGGCAGTACTTTTTAAGAAATATCATATTCGTTGGCCTTGTGATTCCCCCTGAAGGAACTGATCCCAAGGAAATAGAGATGCAGGCAAATACTTATGCAGTAGGCTAGGATGTTCACAGCAGTGTTATTTATACTAGGAAAACAACTAAAATGCCCAGTAATCGTGGTGTATCCTCTTGGTGGAGTGTTATGCAATCATTAAAGTTGTATTTTTGAAGAATATTTGGTGACTTGGGACAATGTTCATAGCAGCATAATGACAGTTGAAAAAAGCAGGATACAAGGCTCTATATACTGTAAGATCCCAGTTTTGTTAGAATGAAATGATATGAATGCAAAAAAAAAAAAAAAAATCAAACAACCCTGGAAAGAAGTTTCCAAAAGGTTAACAATGGTTTCCTCTGGGTAGTGGGAACACATGAGACTTTTTCTTTTCTTTTTTTTGTATTTCACTCTTTTCTAAAATTTCTACAATGAGCAAATATTGTTTTATAGAATCAGAAATAATCTGTGAGTGTTAGCATATATAAAGACTGATTCTGAGCATTGGAAACAGAGTCCTAATGATGGAGGAAGCTGTGGACATCGCCCAGTTCAATGTCCTCCCTTACAAGTGAGAAGAGTGAGGGAAAGGGTTAGTGATTTGCCCAGTCACTCAGTGGGTCAGTCAAGAGAGGATGGGCAAGCCAGGCTAAGTCCTTCCAGCGCAGGGGTTAGCTGGGGGCCAGGGAGTTAGCTTGGTGCATTAATGCTCACAAACTGCCCCAAGAAGGCGCTGCTCCATCCTTGACCCTAGGGAAGCCCAAGAAGGCCTCCATAATTGCACCTCTTTTGACTTAAAGATTGGGATGGTGAGGATGTAAGTTCTCTGTGGCTGGGGTCTTTGACAAGGGAGGAAGTGGGCAGGAGAGGGTCTGAGGCCCTCCCTCCTCCCTGCCCCCACCCCAGCCTCCTCCTCTGCCTGAAACCCCCCTTATGCTGCCTCTCTGGTTTGCAGGAATCAGTTCTTCTTTTGTGGGAGTGAATGGTGAAGTTCTTCCCCCGGCCGTCCCCCTCCCCTGCCCATCTCCCTTCAGGCTTGATTCACTAGAGTTTATTCTCCCCTGACGCTACCCACACACCTACTGGAGGTGGCTGTGAGAATTTTGATTCTGCTCCTTTCAAGCCTGAGATGAAGGATTACAGCGTGCCCATGAAGACCATGTATGGGTGCCCTCCATCCTTCATCCAGGGTCCGGTGATCCTCCTTCTCAACCTGACTTCTCATCCTAAAGAGCCATCAGCTTTATTCTGTGATTGTTTTAGTGTTCACTCCAAATTCCCTTCTAACTGTATCAGCACTGACCTAGGAGTCTTCTCTGATACATCAGTGGTTATCCAGAATTCCATTCCAATTGTATTGGTGTTGACCTTGATACTGACTGACTGTGATTCTAAGACTGTCCACCCAGAATTCTGCTGGGACTGCTTCTGTACTCACCCAGAATTCAGCTCTAATTCTTATCAGTGTCCATCCAGAAATTTGCTGGGGGCAGGGACCGTCTTTTCTCTATAATTGTAATCTCTATTGATTTCTCACCATTTTAATTAAAACAACTGGAAGGAGCCTGGTGTAATAGTGGCCCTGGGACTCATTGGAGATCTAAGATTGGTTTGGCTGTCAGGCTGACATGAAATGAGGCTCGTCCATCACCTGGCGGGTGGTAGACTTTGGTCTTTGGTCTTCTTCCTGAAGACACACTGGCCTCCCTCCACTGCTGGCGGTCCCCACCGGGGTCTGAACAGGGTTGGTTTAGGAGTGTCCAGGGCAGAGGTCTAGGGTATAGCTCTGGGCTTAGGACCAATAGACAGTTACGAGGAGCTGCTGTGTGCCTGGCTCAGAGGTGGGGGCTTCTGACATCCCTGTACACTCACAGGCTGAAGATCTACTTGGAAAGGCAAGGCTAAGGGAGGAAATAGAGCGAGTGCTTGGTTGGACCATTGAAATCCCAGATGTATGTGGGCAGAGGGGAGTCAATGAAGGATTTGAGCTGGACATGGAGGAAACTGCAGAAATTGGATACATAGCAAGGGGTGCAGTGGGAGTCCTAGGGTGTAGGGAGGAGAGTCGAGGAAGGGACATACAGCAAAGTCTTGCAGGTGGGAATGAGCAAGTGCGCGTATATATTCTCGGTAGCGGGCACAGGGTGACTGCGGCAGGGAATTCATGCTTCATGGATCCCAATACAGAGAATAAAGATCTTCCTCCTTCCCCAGCTCTTTCTGAGTGCCTGCCTGCTTGATGCTAAGTGGTGAGGGAAACGTAGTTAGGAAAGCCTTTGGGGAGGGCTCCCAGCCCCAGGGGTCACCCATAGATCAGGATTGGATGGGCCACCTCCCATCTTTTTTTTAATTGCAGTAAAATTCACATAACATAAAATGCACCATTTTAACATTTTAAAGTGTACAATTCAGTGGCATTTAATACATTTACAGCATTGTGCAACCACCACCTCTATCTAGTTCCAGAACATGTACATTACCCCAAAAGGAAAGCCTGTACCCATTAAGCGGTCACTCCCCATTACCCTCTCTGCTGAATCCCTGGCAACCACTAATCTTCTTTCTGTCTCTATGGATTTGCCTATTTTGGACATTTCATATAAATGGACTCATACTATATTTGTCCTTTTGTGCCTGGCTTCTTTCACTTAGCATAGTGTTTTCCAGGTTCATCTATGATGTAACATGTATCTTCTTTCATTTTTGTGGCTGAAAAATATTCTGTCGTATAGATATGCCACATTTTGTTTATCTGCTTGTCAGTTGATGGACATTTGGGTTGTTTCCACCTTTTAGTTATTGTAAATTTTGCTGCTCTAAAGATTTGTGTATAAGCTTTTGTTTGAACACCTGTTTTTAGTTCTTTGGGGTAAATACCTAGGAGTAAACCTTCCATCTTTTAAAAGCTGGTACCTCTTGAATTGGATATTTCACAAAGCCACTGGCTGTGACAGCCGCAGGGAGATTGTCCCCCTCCAGCTTTGACTGGGTGTGACGCCAGCCAGACACCTGTTGTTTTCAGAGTTTCTTTTCCATGACGGCTGAGGCTCCTGGCCGGCCGAGGGAGGAGCTTCCCAGGTCGGCCCAGGTGCCTTGATTCTTTGAGGTGGGCCAGAGTGAGCCGTGGGAACTTGTCTGCAGACCCTGAACTTCCTCTCTGCTCTCTGAGGGTGAGGATGTGGGATCCGTCCTCCGAGGACAAGGTCCTACCTTTCATATCCTTGCTGCTTCTTCCCTGAGTCCACATTCTAGATACTGCAATAGCTGCCTTCCTAACTAGCTTCTCTACCTCTGGTTCCTTCTTTGATGCTGCCAGAGCGATCCTTTCATCATGCCCCTCCCCTATCAATGGCATTCCATGTTATGACTGAGACCGCCATAATCGGATATTCAAGGCCTCTGTTCTTTAGCCAACCCACAGATATTCCCGCAGCCCATGTCTGGGCTCCTTCCTTGGTTGTCATGATGCTTGCAGGTTAGGTGAGCTCATCTAGCTCTCCGCCCCCAGCAATGCAGCAGACAGACCTGACGGAGTGGGGTGGGGTAGGGTGGGTGCTGGTGGCCTCCTCTGCCACCCCAAGACTTCAGAGAGGCTAGGCTAAGACAGCCTCCGTTTTCAACTCTGAGCATCTATCTCGCACACCATGTTGGTTTTTAG